GGAACAGCACCTGGCAGGGCCACATGAATGCAGGCAGTCAGCGGAGTCATCTCACTGCCAGCAGCCCCAAACAGAGGGTCCCTGCCTTTTCATGGACCTGGAGGACCTGGGGGAGGAAGAGGAGGAGAGGCTAGGAGTGGGAAATAAAGGAGGCCTTTGATGGAGGTGACCGGGCTATAAATGCCAATATGCATAAGAGCACATCTGGCCCAGAGGGCCCTGAGTCCATGCAACTCACTTCAGAAAACTTCAGTGCCCCGGCTGTGCACCAGGTCTGCTGTGGGGAGGGCAGCTTCCCCCATGAGGCCAACCAGGCAAAGCCTTATGGTCAGGCCTAAAATATCACTCATAGGATTTTGGCCTGGAGCCAGACTCCCCACCCAATTTAAGAATTGGAATATTATTGATACTTTTGCATTTACCTATGCATTTCTCCCATCCAACCGTCTGTCTATCCTTCAGAATTAACTACTACTCTGAACTTTGTTACACAAATCCCCTTGATTTTCCTGCTATAGAGTTATCACAAAATTTTTTTTAATTTGAGCTTCATATAAATTATGTTCTCTATAATTTTCTGGAACTGGCTTGTTCTCAACTCAACCTATTTCTAATATTCATCTGTGTTTTTGCTAGGACAAAAAAAAATCCATAACAACCCCAAATTTCTATACATTATTAACATACTAGGGTAGGGAGATCAAAGAGATATGAGAGTGTACTTGGGCCTCATGTTAAGTGCAACCACAAAAAGAAAAGAGATTCCTGACCAGTTTGGCTCAGTAGTTAGAGTGTCAGCCCTTGGACCCAAGGGCCTAGGTTCAATTCCCAGTCAAGGGCACATACCTTGGTTGCAGGTTCAATCCCCACCCTGGTTGGGGCTCGTGCAGGAGGCAATCAATCAGTGTTTCTCTCTTTCTCCCTCCCTTCCATTCTCTAAAAATCAATGGAAAAAACAACTTCGGGTGAGGATTAAAAAAAAAAAAAAATAGAAAAAATAATGCAGCCATCCCTCATTACCCAAATTAATCCACTGACATTGTCTGAAAAATATGAAAAATGGTAACACATTCCCAACCCATCTGAAAACCCCAACCACTTCCCTCAAATCTCCTCAAACACTCATATAACAGTCCAAGGATTTCACATTATATAAAACACTGAAACCCCCAATTACATTTTTACTTAAAGCATAATGAACTCACTGACAGACATGGGTGGTGTGCAGTTATGCAATGATGCCGTACAGTATCGGATGCTAACTGCATTCTTACACACAAGAATGCTCCGATTGCATCAGTCTGAGTCCAACATCAAGCAGTCTATCATGTGAGCAGACTGTGAGTCAGGAGAACGGGAGGGACAAAAAATTGACAAAACAAAGGCAAATTTTTTACAAATTTTATTAAGACTATAAGCCTTTGGCCCTATCCGGTTTGATTCAGTGGTTAGAGTGTTGGCCCAAGGACTGAAGGGTCTCAGGTTCGATTCCAGCCAACGGCATGTAACTCGGTTGCTGGCTCAATCCCTGGCGCTGGTCAGGATGCATGTGGGAGGCAACCAATTGATGTGTCTCTCTCACATCCATGTTTCTCTCTCTGTCTCTCCCCCTCCCTTCCACTCTGTCTAAAAATAAATAAAACCTTAAAAAAAAAAAAAAGACTATAAGCCTTTGGATTGAAGCAGCTCAAGGAAGCCCAAACAGAATAAAGTTCAAAACCAATCACTATATTGTTTAAGATTAGATACATATATGGTAAAAAACAACAAATAAAAGCAAAAGCAAGATTAATCAAAATTCAAGATAGTGGTTACCTCTATGGAGGATGGGGGTGTGATCAGAGAGAGGAGCTCCCAGCTTCAAATGTATTAGCATGCACTTTTTCTCAAGGGACATAAAGGGTAGATAAGTTTTATTATTCTTTAAATTGCATAAATACAAAATAATACTTTTTGCATGTATAACAGAGATCATAAAAATAGAAAATAAGTTAATTTCTTCCAGTCTTCTATGCTATTACACAAGCCAAAAACCTGGGGCCATCCTTTACCACACCCCCAACCAAACCCAATTATCACTCCTAAACCTTCCTAATCTTCTCCTTCCACACACAGGTCCAAGCCCCCTTCAGCGGTCACCTGGAGCACTGAAACTCCTTCTTCTCCCTTAAGGCAGTCGCAGAAACCATTTTTTAAACAGACTGTTATCTTTTTAGTTTGAATCCAATCTTGCCCACTTGCTATCAGAAGCAACAGAGATAAGTAAATTGTCCAAGACCAGAGAGCCAGGAAATGGCAGAGACAGGGTTCAAAATCTAAGTCTTTCCTACCCACTACCCTGCCTCGTGTGGAAAAAGATACTGCAAAAGGCTTAGCCCAAACCTAGCATAAGGTAATCACTTGTTAAGCAGGGGTGGAGAAACTTTTTTTCTGCCAAGGGCCTTTGGGGTATTTATAACATTTGTGGGCCATACAAAATTACTACCTTAAAAATTAGCCTACTATATTTGGTCAAATATTTAATTAACTCGCCCCTAATGTGATGGCTGGAACTGCTTCGTTTTGGTGAGACTTTGGCAGAGCCAGACCAAATGATTTTGTGGGCCGGATGTTCCCCACCCGTGTTAAAGGACAGATTGATTTCTTCTCCAGTCAACCCCTCACCATGGAAGGGACCTAGTGCGCAGGTGGGAATAAGAGATCTTCAGTACTCGAAACCTTGAGTCCTTGGGGCCAGTGCCCTCTTACCCCTACTTTAAAAAAAAAAATCATGTCCTCCTTCCTCACTTGGAATTTGGGTGGAAGGCACCTGAAAGCCTGGCCTGGGTACACTGGGGCCACTAGAACAGACCAAGGTGGCCATGCAACAGTTAGGGTGGGGTGAGAGAGGCAGGTATAGCTAAGGCTGTGGGACTTCCCCAGCTGCCCAGGGAAAGTTCGAGCCCCCAGAGGTTCAGCTCTTCACCTTGGCAGTACTGTCAGAATTTTTGTCCGTTACCTTTCTGCCCTACAGCAAGCACCATCACATTCTGTCCAGCACCAAGCATGACCAAGGGCAGACATCCAGGAAAAATGGGAGGTCTAGCTAACCCCCATGTGCTTTTCAGGTCTGACGCGGGCACCTCCTTGAGAAGTCTTTCTTCCCTGACACGTTTTTGTTGTTTCCATGCCACCCACCATGAGTCCCCACAGCTGTGATGCTCTCTGAATTGTGGACTCAAAAATATTTGCAGAGCCCAGCGGTGTTGATCAGTTGATTAAGCATCGTTCTTTGCACCAAAAAGCTGCCAGTTTGATTCCCAGGTTGCGAGTTCATGCATAGGAAAGGCAACCAATTGGTGTTTCTTTCTCTCTCCCTTCCTGTGTCTAAGCATGACCTTGGGAAAGAATTTACTTATATATATATATTTGCCGAATAAATGAAAGCTTGTAGGCTCGCTCCCCTCTGAGCAGTTGCCAGGATCTTCTCCCTGCCTGGGATTCTCTCTCTTCATTCAGCATTTAAGGAATTACTAAATGTTACATACACTTGCTTGCTGAGCTCAAGGGTCACCTCCTCCAAAATGCCTTTCTTACCTTCCCCTTTAGGTGTTCCTCCTCTCCATGGTCACTGCACCTAGGCAGGCGGACCTTTCAACCCCCAGACCAAATGGTTCCTGGACCGCAGGAACCAGTCCTAATTCATCTCACTGCGGCCATCACCTGGCAGTGCTTTGCATCAGACTAGGCTCAGGCAACCCCTGTAGAAGGATCTGGAGTAGACAGATCCTGGTTCGGATCCCAGCTCTGCCACTTAAGAGCTTGGGCAAGTTCCTTTCTATTAGTTTGCTGGTCAGTAAAATGGCTGGCTGAAAAGCTCAGAAATGAGGTTTTGAACTACCTCGCTGAGTTGTCAGGATAGCCCTTAGGCCCTCAACCCAAGGGGAGGGGCAGGACAGGCCCTCTAATACATGGTATTTGGTACCTGAGCTCTGTAGGGAGAAGGGGAAGCTACAGGGGGTTTGCCCTTCTCTGCCCCAGTCTAATGTCCCTCACCATGAAGTCACCTAGAAAACAGAGCCCAAAACAAGAACTAAGTACCAATGTTTTATTTGGATGGTGTAAACCCAAGGCACTGAGAGTGAGAAAAGAAAAGCAAGGCAGGGGAGAATGGGAGGTAATGCAAGGCGGCAGTAGGTGGGGTCCTGCTTCACCACAAGCCTTGAAGAAGCACAGCAGGTGTGTACACTGGCTTCTTGGCAAATCTCCCCACTGGCTGTACTGTTTGGAGAAACAGTGCCTTGCAGCAATTCAGGGAAGGGAGGGGAGAAGAAGGAATTTCTCTGTCTGGGTCTCCCAACTCCCTTTAGCTCCCCCACGCTTTTGTGTTGCTAGTGGCTACTTGAGATGCCAGATCCCATGCCCTGCAGTGGGGCATTCCATCCAAGCCTGGAAGTGGCGGGAGGAGACAGAAACTCTGGGCATGTGGCTGGTGAGTGCCAGGCAGAATCTGACTCAATACATGTGTCCCAAACAGTCCAATAGTGTTTTTCTCATTTACCAAAAGAGGAAACATGGCATAGTGATCAAGGACCTGTCCCGAGGTCACATGGCTAGCAAGTGGTAAATTCAGGATTTGAACATAGCCTGGCTCTGGAGACTGTGGAAGACCAAGATAAGGAAATTGGATTTTATGCAGCAGGCAAAGGAGAGTCACTGAAGGGTTTCAAGTTGGGGAGTGGCAGAAGATAAAGAGCTTTTTAATGAAGCTCCCAATCTCTACTTTGCTCCATCTTTCCATGTGGCTTAACTCAGCAAAAGTAGGTGGCCCCAGAGAGGTAAAGGCATCCAAGACAGTTTTGGAAGAGTCCCTGACGGGGTCCAGAGCTCATATGGGCTTCATTTAACACTGCCTCGTAATCTTTCTCGGTCGGCATCTAAGCCTATACCTACCAGAGACTAGCTGGTCAGAGGCAGGCAGGATCTGGGTGAAGCCAACATGAAGGGAAGAGGAGACTGATCTAAAGACCAGGAGCAGGAGGACCAGCCATCTGTTCACTGTTGGCCTGTGGATTGGGGGATTCTGGCACCCGCAGATGAATCCTTCGGTGTTGCCTGAGATGGTCAGACCTCATGAATTCGCGGCCACACTGATCACATCTATGAGGTCGGTATCTGGTGTGTATCCTTGTATGTCGTCCAAGCTCATCAGAACGGAAGAAAGACCATGTACAACCTTCCCACGTACATTTATAGGGCCTCTCACCTGGGAAGGGAAGTGACAGGGAGAGAAGGAATTAAGGACAGGAATTTAGGCCAGCAGGTGGGAAGGAAGGGGGCTGACTCTGTGAGGCAGAGCAGTCAAGGCGGAGCCATCAAAAGGAGAAACACAGGAAAACTGAGGAGGTAACAGCACCGGCAGTGCCCATCATTTTGGTACAGCCATACTGGACTGTGGGAAAGCCAAGGGATGAGGACAGAGAGGAAGGTCCCAGAATGGAAGGAACAGGCTAATCACCAACCACTACAAACCAGTGGTCCAGCACAAATCTAAAGCCCAGACTCCTCCCTCCCACCCCGCCTGTCTGACACCTCATTCACCTGTGTGTTTTCGCTGGTGACTCACGAGGTGGGAGCGCTTAGTGTAAGCTTTTCCACAGTTCTCATACTGGCAGCAGTAAGGCCTTGCAACTGGGGCTCTCCTCCAGGGAGCCCTTTCCAGGGCCCTGCAATTCTGCTCTGCTCTCTGTGGAGCAGGTGTGAGCTGCTCAGGTAGGAAGGGGTCTTCCTGGGAGGCTGGCTGTCTAACAAAAGAGTCCTGGGATTCTAAAGTCAGTAATGATGGGGACCCAGCTGGGGGCATTCCACAGCTGTGGGGATCTCTAGGGGACAACATTTGAGCCAAAGAGGGGAGCACTGCCTGGCCCTCAGGAAAAGGCATGGTTGGGGGCAATAACATTTTAGATGTTAAAGAGTCTCTAACAGAAGGTACTGTAGGGTGGCCAGAATGAGACATTGTTGGCGTCCTAATGTGGGACATCATTAGGATTTCACTGGGAGCTGTGACTGGTGGCCCATTTCGGGGCATTCTTAGATTCCCACAGAAGGTCATGGCCACCCCTTGAATACTGGGCTCTCCTAAGGACATCATCTGGGCTCTCCTGAGGACATCATGCCACTTTTCCTTGAAAATCACCATTTCTGGTTGAGAGGGAGACATTCCCTGAGAGTAAATCATTTGGGAAGGATGGCGAGTCACTTGGGGGCAGTAGTTCACACCATGCTCAGGCAGCAACACACTGAACTGTGGCCCCATTTCATTCACATTCTGCCTGGGCGCCTCAGCAGGAACCAAGGGGATCCTCTCCAGCTGTGGACACTGAAGGATGTCTTGTTGAATGCCAGACGAGCCACGGTTCCAAGGGGTGTGTACTCCACTGCTTCCAGGAGATGGAGACATGTCCAAGATGCACATTGATTTCTCAGTATCCTTGGAGAGGGAGAGTCAGGTGAAATTAATCCTAGCTCCAATTCCAGTTCCACATGTCCCTCCCACCATCTCTAGACCACACCCGAATCCATCACCTCTTGCCTGTATTATCCTACCTCCAGGCCATGTTCCAGTTTGGGCTTTTCTTTTTTTTAATCCTTACCTGAGGATATGTTTTCCTTTTTTAAACTGACTTTAGAGAGAGACAGAAACACGGATGCAAGAAACTTCGATCCACTGCCTCCAGTGCATGCCCCGAGCAGGGATCGAACCCAAAACCTTTTGGTGCACAGGAAGATGCTCCAATCAACTGAGCCACCCGGCCAGGGCTCCAACTTGGGCATTTCTTTTTTTCCTTCTACCTGTGCATGCTCACTTTACCTGTCTAGACCTCATACTCAAGCCCCAGCTCTACAGCTCTGTGATGGTATAAACTACGGCTGTCTACTAAGTGAGAGGTGCAAAGAAACACTGACAGCAGACTTTCTTAAGAAGCCCCTGGTCTCTGGGATGGATAAGACAGAGATGCATACACAGAAATATAACATCACAGAAGCCAGCTGGTCGCCCTCACCCAAAGGCTAGGTGTGATGAGTGTCCTCAGTTTAGGGAAAGAAAAGAATGGCCTTGGGGTTGGGAGGGTTCAAAGTGGTGTTCTTTGAGGCAGGGATCAAATTTGAGAGATAGAGGAAAAAGGGCATGCTGTAGGGAAAAAGTGTGAACAAATACTCAGGGGTTAGCATGAGTTCAGTATCATAGGGCAGATAGTGAGTGGGCAGGGTGGCTTTTGCAAAAGTTTCAGAAGGCTAATAGGGCCTGTTATACAGCATGGCCAAGCTCCCAGTATCACAGGGACCCCAAATCTCTTCCCCGACTTCCCAGGGATCTCTACCCAGGATTGAATGGGGTTGGGTTCATAAAAAGGAAAGTCCTAAATGCCACATAAAAGAACAGAGTTGTAAGCATCAGAGTGTTACTAGAAGAGAGTAACACATGATAAGCAGAGATCTGGGAAGTTGAACCAGGGAGAAGCCTGCAGGATGGATCAAAGGAGGTAAGAATAAGGCAGAAAGGCTGCCTCAAGAAACCAGGTGGGTAAAGGATCTAACCAGAATAGGCCAGTAAGTGGAAAGATAGGGATGGATTTGTTTCTCTAGAAATACATTCCTCTTTGAAGCCTTTGGGGCTTTTCTTTTCTTTTTTAAATATATCTTTATTGATTTCAGAGAGAGGAAGGGAGAGGGAGAGAGAGAGATAGAAACATCAATGATGAGAGAGTCACTGATCGGCTGCAGCCCGCAACCCAGGCATGTGCCCTGACCGGGAATTGAACCCTGATCGCCTGGATCCTAGGTTGACGCTCAACCGCTGAGCCACACCCGGCTGGGCCCTTTGGGGCTTTTCTAAGATGCAGGTCTGGCTGATAGGACCAGTGGAAGCTTAGGTGTGATTCATGCCACTTTTCCTCCTTGGCATGTTTTTATTATTTCATAAAAAGCAACAAAGAGCAAATAAAATATTACACAAACTACACCTTCAACAAAACTCTGAGAAAACCTTCAAACTCCAGATTACATGTGAGGGTGAGAGAACATCTCAAACCAGCAGGGTAGGTGCAGAGAACCACAAAGGTAGGAAAAGCAGAGACTTCAGCTAGGTCCCAGCTTTAGCAAAACTTACAACCATCTGCAAATACTTATTTACCTACAGAAGAGGGTCTCACCTAAATGGGAACTGCTGTGCGCAGGTCTGAGGTCAAGCACTGGAGGAAGTAAGAAAAAGAGGCAGACTGCCGGCTGGGCGTGGCTCAGCGATTGAGCATTGACCTAGGATCCAGGCGATTGGGGTTCGATTCCCGGTCAGGGCACATGCCCGGGACACAGGCTCGATCTCCAGTCGGAGGCGTGCAGGAGGTGGCCGATCAATGACTCTCTCATCATTGATGTTTCTCTCTCTCCCCCTCTCCTTTCCTCTCTCTGAAGTCAATAAAGATATATTAAAAAGAAAAAGAGGCAGACTTTGAGATGAAGAAAAAAGTGATTGGTGGCAGAACCTCTTGAAACAGGATAGGATTCAAAAATTGTTTTTTAAATCATCTGTTACTGTAGCAATAGAGCTCAAGCTGGGAAACTGGGAAAGCTACCCCATCGTGTCTCCCATCCACTCCTCCACTGGGACAGTGCAGAAAAAAACAATCAAATATGAAAACCAAAACATAAGTTAAAAAAACACACTATCACCCTAACTGGTTTGGCTCAGTGGTTAGAGCATTGGCCCTCGGACTAAAAGGGCCCAGGTTCGAGTCTGACCAAGGGCACATACCTCGGTGTACCTCAGTTGCAGGCTCAATCCCTGGCCCTGGGGCATGGGGGGGGGGCAACCAATCAATGTGTCTCTCTCTCCTCTTTCTGAAAAGCAATGGAAAAAATATCCTCGGGTGAAGATTAAAAAATATATAGATACATTATCCATAAAAAACACAAAACCATCAAAACAGAAATTAAAGACTGCAATTTCTCACCCCAGCCAGTTTTGCTCAGTGATTAGAGCATTCGCGTATGGCCTATGGACTGAAGGGTCCTGGATTTGATTCCAGCCAAGAGAATGTACCTCAGTTGCAGGCTCAATCCCTGCTGCATGCAGGAGACAACCAATTGATGTGTCATTTTCACATCAATGTTTCTCACTCCCTCTCTCCCTTCCACTCTCTCTGAAAAGCAATGGAAAAAATATCCTTGGGTGAAGATAAAAA